AGAGGAGGTTGCGCTTGGTGGATAGTAGACCGCTATTGTGGGGATGCAGTTTCTAAGCACGAATAGGGAGTTAACTTGTTGGTTTCTGTATAAAGCAGAGAGTAGGGGAAAAACGAAAAGGAGAAATGTGTTTTTACGCAGTTCACTTCTCTGGATATGCATTGTACATCAGATCTATGATATCCGGCCGGTTGTGGGCTATAGACAATGATAACCTATGGGCGACGGCTTTCGTCCATGAAAGCATATAGAAAACTTTTCGGGAGAACTTAATTTGGATGCATGAAGAGTCGGAAAGAGAACTGAGAATCGGAGTATGCTATTTGAAAAATGGGAAGGTACTAGAGATTTTAGGCATGGGAGAGGAACTGAAGCATCAGGAAAGATTGTTATGCTGATATCAATAATGGTGTAACCTTTATTTTAGCATATGTTTCGCTGAAATGCGTGTGGTGCAAAGCTGTGGAACTTTTTGCGCGCTTACACGCAAGGTCATAAGGGATACCAATCCTGATAATCTGTATATTATGAATAATTTTAGCTTATTTTTCTCTTTTGGCAACATGTTTGGAATTTGTTATGGGTGTGAAAAGTTTTAAGCTTATGTGATTGTATTAAACTTCTTTAGACAATATTATTCACACAAATAATGCATTGATTGGAATTCCAGAGCTTAGTGAGTAAACATATACCACGAATTCAACTTTATCGATGAAAATAATCTTCGCTGTATACTTTTTATGATAATTGAGATTTTATTTTATTTTTTTCATTTCGAGTTTTTGTTGAACAAAATAAGGGGCAGCCAGTGTCTTATTCCTCTATACTCGTGAAATAATTTGGAAGACTTTTCATATCTGACTCCAGGTAGAAAGATAATTAATCAAAGAAAATGATATCATCCAATGGTTTAAAAACAACCTATTGCATCTGAATCACCAAATGATACATAGTTTTATGATTTAGGCAAATGTCAAAAGTTTTAATTTGCTTACTGCCTATGAATTATTTTACTGACATCACTAAATTTTATTAATTCTTCTCATGTATTTTTGTGGAAAGTCTATATTTATTTGGCTTCCTATGAATGTCCAAGGTGGTGCAGCTCAATATTGATACCATAACAGCTTCACACCCCTTAATTTCTGGGTAAAATATGACTTGGGATCTTTGACACTTTAACGGTCAAATTCTTCATTTATAGATGCAGGTAAAATCAGGTTACACCATGAAAGATGAATCATGAGAAGAATTAATAAAATGTTCCTACAATGCCCCCACCCCAACCCCCCTTTAACCTGATTTAATGAAGATTCCATAGTCGTGCGTCCGTACAAGAATATTTATTAGTTTTTGGGCTGAACATTTTATATTTTTATTTTCTTCTTTATATGAAGCCAGCTGCTCTAACTATAATCTCAAAAGGGTCGTATTCTGCTTCCGACTGTCTCCCCTTTAAACTTTATCGTCTGCTGGGGCTTCTACTCTTGGACACTGCTCTTCAACATGGGCAACTCTAAAGGGTGATGGGGACTCCACGAGTATCCCAGGAAACCCTAAAGTTTTGCTGGTGCTCCAAAACTTTCTGAGATTCCGAAGGCCACAGAGTTTTTAGTGCACAAAGGAGAAGAAAGGTTTGTCCATAGGCAGTGGGGTTTGCCACTCTCTATGGGTACAATGAGGCCCCACATTCCCTTTGTTGTTGTTTTTATACATATAACTTCAACACGCTGAGGCACCTCCCCAGTATTTTTACGTCAGATACTCCTGTCAAATGTTTCTGAACTATGTTCCACCATGTCTTAGAAAAAAGTGATTCTTATGGAGACACCCCTATAGAACCTTGTAAAATGTAAAGTAGCACATAACTCAACAAGAAATAAGTGCTCATCCGTCCAACAGGAAAATTCAGGGCCATAACATAGAAAAAAATTAAATTACAAACAAAAATAATATACATGTTTCTCATATGTTAAAGTTCAACTAATTTTGAAATCATTTTTTTACGGGGCAGGTCAAAAGTAGGCTTCCCAAGATTGCATAATCTAACACAGGGCTTCGAATGGACCGTTTTGAGTCAGCATTTATAACCTCAGGGGTCATAAGGTAACTTCCATACGCTTCATTTCTACTATGCTGTTCTAACTATTGGAAACATAGTGAATATATAGTTTATTGATGACAGATGTGATATTTTCGAATGAACTTTCCAGTGAACAAGCCCAAAACCTTTGTAAACTTCACTGCATAATCTAAACTATCTGATGAAACAACATCTGACAAAGGAATTTGGCTAAGACGTTAAACTAAAGCTACAGTGCTAAAATGTATCATCTTCCTTAGGTCAATTGTTTATGACTATCATCGTGCTCTAACATTTAGTATCTTAGTGACTCCAAAGGCATACCATCAACAAGCTTTAATGGTAAATATTTTCCTTACGATGACAGAAGGAAAGTACAATCCATTTTATCCAAATCAGTTTTTTCGAGAGACCAAATATTCTATTTTGTTTTGTCCAAACGTGAGAAATGAGATCTATGCGTATGATCAGTGTTTTCTTGTCTTCATCCACCATCCAAAAGGTGATGGGGACATATTTCATAGTAAAATATCAGCTACCACACCTGACACAGTTGAACACATCGGATCTCCCCAATCGCAGGGTTGACTCCTCAGGTCGGGGAACTTTTCTCTCTGTTCTCTCTCTCTCTCGCACACACAAACACACATTAAACAAATGAGGGCCCCATAAGCTTCCTCTTGCCAGACTGTAGTCCATCAAAACTCCCTGCGTATTACATAACTATAACCCTATGCATTCTTTATATGTGTGAGTGTGTATTTGCGTGAATAGCCAAGATTAGAAAGAAATCATCAAGTTGGAGGCAAGCTCAAGTCTGCTCTAGTCCTTCATATCATGAATATTGAATGGCGTAATTCGAGAGAACCATCATCATTATCGTCCATAACAGACCTGTATATTCGCGGCTGACAGTCATGAAATATATCTAACGTTGGAATCGGGATAGAAAGAGACATTCGAATGATTCGTTATCTTTCGTCTTTCATGTCGAATGTAAGGCAGAAGGTTTGCAAGGAGAAAGTTTTTTTCCTCTTAAAATTTTGACCTCGTTCATGGACAAGTCTGATTCTTAGGTAATTTGAGAACCAGACGAAAGATTTTCGTAAAATACACAAAAGTTAGAAAAAACGTTATTGGCTCTGAACAAGAATGATTAGTAATGAAATTAATTTGTTTTCATCACAAAGTGAAAAAGATAAAATGGTGCGATGTATGATATCACTTCTATCGTCAACTTGTGAGTTTTCTTATAGTGGTGGTATATTCCTATTCTACTCATCTATCATTCAGTTATGACCGTCCAATATATACACGCACTCTTAAAGTATGCATGGGCTCATAATATGACGAGTATGCAATAAAAAATAGAAATTATTCTAGTTCAGCTAACTCAATTTTGATTCCCACTTAACATCTTATCATGGATTGGCTACGTCTTGTCAGTTCTTAAAAGATCAAACTCAGAACCATCAATATGAACACTTAAATGCCGTGAAGCCAATCAAATCCACAGGTGTAAGAAATGACGTAGACGTGAAAACTGCACAAAGCCTCGTGAATCAAAAGCTACAGGGTAGCAAAAGAAGAACTAAGATGAACTCAAAAGAAAGTACAAGGAAAGATGAAGAAACACTGATGAACCGGTTAACAGCATTTCTCGAACACTAACTCGGTTTCATACATTCATTGAATTGTGTTAAATACTTGATATTTAGCTTGACTGACGAGGATGCTTAATATGACTCTTGTAAAGATGACGGGCTCGTGGAAAAGAAAGAAGAATAAGGAGAAGCAGGAGCGTAGGGGTCAGTAACTCGGACTTGAGGAAGCCCCTGGTGCAGAACCATGATCGAGTCCAATCTTTCCAGATTCCTGTTGTGGGAGGGAAGATCCTTCCCCTTCTTTTCTTTGTATGATTCAAGCGGTCTTTATATGTATGCCAGAGAGAAACTAGAGAGCGAGACAGAGAATGAGAGAGAGGGAGAGAGAGAGGTTCTCCTTTTCTACCTAAACGATAACGCCTAAAAAGGTAGATACACATGGGGCAAGAAGGGAACAGCGAGAGAGAGAAAGGGACGTCTATTTTTCATAGTAACGATGACCATCATGCAGACAGACACATGGATGGAGCAAGAGGGAAAGAGAGAGAGAGATGGAGGGAGGGAGAGGGAGGTTCTCCTTTTTTACCTTAACGATGACGCCCACAAAGACATACGGGGTTAGAAGGAAACAGCGAGAGAGAAAGAGAGATACCTCCATCTTTCATCTTAACGGTGAGCCTCATGCAAACAGACATATGGACGGAACAAGACGGGGGGAGGGGAGAGAGAGAGAGAGAGCGAAAGGGGGAGGTTCTCCTTTATTGCCTTAACAATGATGCCCCCAATGATAAATACAAATGGGGTAAGAAGGAAACAGCGAGAGAGAAAGAAAGAGACGTCCATTTTTCATCTTAACGATGACCCTCATGCAGACAGACACATGGATGGAGCAAGAGGAAGAGACAGAGAGATAGAGAGAGACAGAGATCCTCCTTATTTACCTTCAAAATGACGCCCACAAAAACGGATACATATGGGGCAAGAAGGAAACAGCGAGAGGGAGAGAGAGAGAGATACGTCCATTTTTCATCTTAAAGATGACCCTCATGCAGGCAGGCAAATGGATGGAGAAAGAGGGAGGGTTGATAGAGAGAGAGAGAGAGAGAGAGAGAGAGAGAGAGAGATGTGATGACATGATAGGCCAGGCACTTCATCTGAGATTACGACAAAACCACGATAGAAATATTACAGAATTTTTACAGCGGGGAAGTCTAAATAATTCGAAATTTACAAGGACTAATATAACATAGAAAGAAAAACCTCGGACTCATAACTGAATTCACACGAAGACACCCCGACAACACACGTCCGTACTAGACTCTGTTGCCGGCCGAGTGGCCGATACCCGGGCTGTGCCCTGGCTCCGTCTGACGCGCACCAAGCTGGGTATCCTCCAAAGATTTGCTGGTTTTGTCGTCTCCCCTCGTCTCCCACGTATGGCCTATGCCGGGGCTGTGGCCAGGGGCCGTAGGCCGGAGACCTTCGGTGGCCTCTTCCAAGGAGAGTGGGGCCTTTCTGTCTTCTCCGGCAGGGCTCAGGCTCGACCCTTCTGTGCTTTGACCTCCATGAAGTAGCCTCCTCCCTAGGACATGGAGGGCCGTGCCGGAGAGTACCAGCAGAAAGGCAATGACGAAGGGAATGAAATTTCTACTGGGAGACATGGTGTGATGAGGGGAAACAGGTAATGGTGAAAGCGAGCGAGCGAGAGAGAGAGAGAGAGAGAGAGAGAGAGAGAGAGAGAGAGAGAGAGAGAGAGAGAGGGAGGAAAGGAGGGAGAGGAACAAGTGATCGAGAGAGAGAGATGGAGAGGGTGAGAGGGAGAGATAGAGAGAGATAGAGGGCGAGAGGGAGAAGAGCGTACAGAGGAGAGCGAGAGAAGGAAAGTGAGACGCGAGCTCAAGAGATGGAGAAGGAGTAGTATTTAAAGGGATTTGAAGGGGGCGGGGGAAGCACCAACCACTAGAACCGTTTAGTTCTTTAATGGCTGCGTCGCAATGAAATGAATCCGCGGTTGTGTGCGGTGTCCTCTGGCTTTCCGCTGGACAGTGTTAGAAGGCGTGCCGTCCAGTAGAAAGTTTACCGGTACAAAAAAGTTGCATGGGGCATGCAATCTCTCTCTCTCTCCCTTCCTCCCCGCTCCAGGTCTCCCAATTGGAACTTAAATATCCGCGACCAACTGCTTGACAAGTGCTAGATCTTCCTGCCCCACGTTTAGCTTCCTCTCCCCCCTTCCCTCTCTTGAGATTCCTCTGCTTAAATAAGTGTGACGCCATGTGCTCCACAGATGCAAGATCTCCCTCCGTGTTCCTCTCTCTCTCTCTCCCCCCACTTAAAAATCTAGACGTATATACCATAGAGGTCGTGGACCGTGAGTATATTCGATTGGAATCGGACAAGTGGTCAGAGAGCAGCTGAACCCTCTCCTCTCCGTCCTAAAAGGCATCCCCCCCCCTCCCACCACCAAACAAAGATCCTTGGTTTCGTTTGAGGCCGAGGAGGAGATTCTTGGTGCTCTTTGTTAATGTCGGCAAAGCTTCAGCGACGAGATTCCTAAATTACTGCAATTTCACAAGACCCCCGTGAACGGAATCTCCTCTTCGTCCTCCCTCTTCCATGCTACCTTCCCCTTAAAACCTAGCCTAAGGGAACTTTTACGCCGAGATCTATACGTACACCTGCGTATAAATACATTTATGTGGGGGATTTAAAATGAGTGGAGGGAGAACCCTGCCTTTGAGAGAGAAAAAAGATGACCAAGTAGGGAACCCAGTAAAGCTTTAACAAGCATGCTGTCTTCCTTTCTATTTGGACGGTTGCCTGGTGGTTTTAGTATATGCACACACGCTTTCCAACTAGAACCATTTTGATGGACATGAATATCATGATCATGAGCCATAGGTTCTAGCCAAAGGATATTCCTCCACAGCAGAGCTTGCAGGACCTGTGCCTCTAGGCAGAGTCCAGGAGATCTCAGGAAACACTGTAAGATGGAGGATGAGGGGCTAGGGGTGATTTATGGTGTCTTCTCTAGGTTTCGCTACAGATTTCACGACATGATCGGATGTGGATCTGATAGGCTAACACCAGGAAATGGAGAGAGAGAGAGAGAGAGAGAGAGAGAGAGAGAGAGAGAGAGAGAGAGAGAGAGAGAGAGAGAGAGGGAAATACAGCTCAAGCTTTGAGGTCCGTGTGATCAGCTCTGCTTGCCTCTAGTGTTTTGTCTCTCTGTGTGGTCTTATGTGATCAGGTTTGTCCCTGACAGCCGTTCATCGAGAGAGTTGGACGGAGGGAGTCGCCCGGAGGCTTGGGAGAGAGAGAGAGATTCTCTCCTTTAAATGATGAAGGAGAAAAGAGAAATACAATTAAGCAACCATGAGATCTTGGAAGATACTCAGAGGTCAAAAGTATTCCGTCGTCCCCCCCAAGATCCCCTTTTTACAGAACTTGCTGGCCACTGGGAGCCGACTTTCCCCAGCTGTGGTGTCCCTTCGTCCTTCCGAGCGGCAGGCACGTGCAAGTCACCTGCGCACGAGGGGGTCCCCCGCATGTTAGAGCAGACGTTACACCCCATGTATGTGGACGCTAACAAGGGAGTGAACAGAAGTCGACTGCACTTCATATCTCCCGCTCTTCTTACCAATGCAACACAGCTCCTCATGCTCTCATCCACTGTTCCCGTCGACTTGGTCTCCGGGAATCAAAACTTATAATTTAATAAGGTAATCAGAAAGATAAATTAATGAAGCTGAGGATCCTTACTCTCACATGGACTGTCAACCACGAAGAACCAACTTTGTCATGTGGTGCAAGACAGTGGCGCTATGATTTTTCTCCGTCTGTTTTCCATGATTCTATACATCTCAACTATATCAACGGTTGCCACAATTCGCGGTCTCATACCGTGATTTCCATGCGATAGATGTACTATATGTACTTATACAAATGTATGTGTATATGTGTCTGTCTGTGTACATACAGATCAGTAAGCATGTGCGTCATAATATCACATGACATGGTTCCCTTTAAACATCGTGTATACCTTACGACAGATCAGCGTTTCAAAGAGATAGATATCATGAATTGAAGTACTTTCTGTCTCTAAATGCCGTCTACCCTTTAAACATCGTGCGGTAAAGTAGCGAAGATCTGTGATCTTAATAGTCCGCTGGAACCGCGTAATCTTAGAGAAAAGCTGTGCCGAATCAGGCATAAGGTTGCCATGGCCTTCGAGGTGAATCTTTTCTTGAACTAGACGATGGGAGATGTATCTGTGGTAGGAAAGATAAACTCTATCGAGCGTTCAGATCAAGAAATCGATGTTAAGGTTTATTTTAAGAATACATATCAGCATTACGTTGATCCATATTTAGTGGAGATAAACTTACGGTGAGAGAATCACAGAAATCAAAATGAAGAGAAAAAGGAAAGAACCATTCATTCTTGGGGAAGATTTGGCATATATAATTAATAAATTTTAACTAAAGGAGGGCATTATTTCAATCTATTTAATCAGCAGATGAAGGGCTTATTTCAATACATTTATTGACTTGAAGGTCTTGCCCCCAACCATGGACACATACTAAATTTCCTGCATTGATGAAATCGAATGACTAATAGCAAGCAACAATGATCATCAACCATATGTACTGTCTAACACAGTGACAAATATCATTTAAATATTTTTATTCTTAGTTGATTAATATTATTTTCCAATTACCATGCTGTCAGGACGCCATAATAGCTAACTGGTAGATAAATGTGTTTTTATGTATATTTACCTTGATTGACGAGCCATTTAGACCAAGAAGTGATCGTCTCTCTCTCTCTCTCTCTCTCTCTCCCTCTCTCTCTCTCTCTCTCTCTCTCTCTCTCTCTCTCTCTCTCTCTCTCTCTCTCTCTCTCTCTCTCTCTCTCTCTCTCTCTCTCTCTCTCTCTCTCTCTATCTATCTATCTATCTATCTATCTATCTATCTATCTATCTATCTATCTATCTATCTATCTATCTATCTATCTATCTATCTATCTATCTATCTATCTATCTATCTATCTATCTATCTATCTATCTATCTATCTATCTATCTGTCTATCTAGATGTCTATCTATCTATCTATTTATGTGTCTATTTATCTCTCTATCTATCTATCTGCCTATCCATCTATTTATCCATCTGTCCATGTGTCCATCTTTCTATCCATCTTTCTATCTATCTATCTACCTACCTATCTATCTATCTATCCATCTACCTATCCATCTGTCCATTTGTCCATCTTTCAATCCATCTGCCTATATATCTATCTATCTATCCATCCATCTTTCTATTGATCTATCCATCTTTCAATCTATCTGCCTATATATCTATCCATCCATCTATCAATCGATCTGTCCATCTTTCTATCCATCTTTCTATTGATCTATCCATCTGTCTCTATACATTTCTACCTACATATTTTTGTATCTATGTCCACTTCTCTCTTCCTACCAATCTATCTCCCTCTCTGACAACCCCCCCCCCTTTTTCCCTTTCCTCAGCTTTGTCATTTATTGAGCATAGTTTGGGCTTGGCGGATTAGTACTAGACGAGGCACAATCATTCATTAGTCAATGATATCTTTGTTATTGATCCAGTTATTAGGTGAAGTTCAATATGATAGGCGGAGGCAAAGAAAAATACACTTATTAGTTGTGGTCAAAGGTGCATGTAGTTATCTGCGCATGGAAAAAGTATACAATAGTTAGTAATCATATCAAAATCAGTTCACGTGTATAAAGTGGATTCAAGACTGCCATGTAACCTATGCTGAGAACTTCATTCCACACCTTCCATTCATTTATTCATTCAAAGTTATGATTTGCCCTATTAAATGTTTCAATTTTGAACTTAATTTTTTTAAAAAAAATGTGGTGAGCCATGGGTTTTTATGCAACAAAGTGTTATTACTAGTGAATTAGACTTTTTGCACTAGTTGAGGCTTTGGTCAAACTTGTTTCTAATTTGTGTAGGAGAGGTAATTGCTCTCTGGGTTGGTTCCAGTTGTTAAAAAACATAAACACTATTTTTTTTTGTAATAATTCACCCCCTAACATACTCTACTTTTTTAAGGGATCCTCTAAACTTTACTCTTACAATCGAAATGATGATCACAAGTACATTAGCTTTCCACAATAATAAATTAACATCTCTAGGTCATTACCATCACACACTCAATGATAGCTTATTATTGTAGATTTTAAGCATAAAAACAAGCATAGTACATAAGAAAATTCTTTTGGTGATATGATACTCTTCTGCAATTAAGAATTCTTTTCATAAATAATAAAGAAACTATTTTTTCATATTTGAAAATAAAATGCTTTCTACATATGAGGACAGGCCTTCAAAAGGTTGAAGTTTTTCCAAATCATACAACCATTTGATTAAGACAATTCTTTTTAGAGGCTGAGTTTTCATTCAATATGGTTGGATATTTTTGGGTAAATTATTAATATAAGATCAATAGAACCACATTACCTAACAAAATCAATTAAATCATAGAAGTTGAGTAGTGCCTTTAAAGATAATGACAACAAACTCAAGGGTAAAATAGACATTTTATATTATAAGATAAATGATAAATAAGTTTAAAAATTCCTAACATTTTTATGAAATTTATTACTTCTTTGTGTACTTTTCTCTACAAGATTTTGCATCATCTTTTATGCATAACGTTGTACAAATATGTGCAAACGCATGCCTATGTTTACATTGAGGAGGTAGAAAGCATCAAGAAAAAAATAGAAAAAAATAGAAATGACAAAATGAGACATGGGCGTTAGAGCACACCACAACTACAAGAGGACCATTTTTCAGGGTTTAAAAGAATGTTAAAAAGTTATAAAAAATCAAAGAAAATCATGAATATGCAAAATAAATACCCTCCTCATGTCCCAATAGAAGGAAAAATATTAAAGACACGAAATCAAGAATCAATCAAGGGCAAAAGTCACTTCATAAATTGAAGTCACTTCTACATCATCAATTAAATCAAGCCTTTAAAAGTGTGGAGCATGTTAATGGTTTTAGTTTTGATAAATTAATAGTGAAAACTTATTGAATATTAATAGTTATTTATATATGTCTCTATATTCAATATCATTAATATGGTTTTAAAATGAATTATCTTTACTCATTTAATGATCATATCACTAACAATCAAATATAATGTATCAATCCTTTGAGATTAAGTGATTCTTCATGTTAGGAATACTTGATCAATAAAGAATATCAACTGAAGAATATTCTCCAATGAAATGATATGGATATGATTAAATGGGTATAATAAAATCATATGAAAATATTTAATTATTGAGAGCTCTAATCATCATATGTAGTGCCTAGTATTTTGAAATGATGATAAACATGTTTCTTACCATCTATATTAGATTAAATTATCAAAAGAGTTAGAAAAAGAAAGAGATATTCAAGCTTTGAAAGCAACATCTTGATGGTGACACATTGACTTCTTACCCAAATGAAAAGTTAAAGAAATTTTAATGATTTGGATCCAGCATAATATCCAATTGTTCTCATCAAGTTGGAAAAGTTTGGTTCAAATTAAAACAGAATGGGGAATAAGGAGATTTGAAATTTGTAAAATTCAGATGTCATTATCACATAGTCTGAAAAATGACAATTATTTGAATGAAGATTTAGAACATTAGAGATCATGTAAAATTGAAGTTTATTCGAGGATGAAGGTTAACATAAGTGAAAAAGCTTGAGGACCAAAAATTATTTGACACATGAAGATTCAAGTAATCCTCTCAAGTAATTTAAGCCACAAGTATCATTGTCATTCAAAAACATTGTACCATCTTTTATAACTACTTTCAGGTAACAATTAACCCCATATTCACAACTATTACTTTCCATTAGGCTAAGGTAATTGGGTGGTGAGGAGAGAATATATGAGGTGAAAGCATGAGGTGTTATGAGTTGTGTTTCACCCAAAGATGGAGTATGTTGGAATCTAATATATACATACATCAAGAGAGAGAGAGAGAGAGAGGCATTTATATATATATATATATAGACAAATAGATAGAGATAGGTGAATTCTTTCCTCATAATTTTTGTTACATGCCATCTATGATTCTTCTAGATTTCCTTCTCATATTCAAAAGCATGCCCAATGAATCTCAAGGTACAAAAGTTGACCATTAACCTTCCTATTGACTTCAAAGATGTGAAGAAAATAATTTGGAAAATCATAACTTATTTTTAGCTCTAATGCTTTCTAAAAATAGATGACTAAGTTAAATAATTCTAAGGAAAAATGAGAGTTAATACTCAAATTTTCATTAAACTCAAGTAGAGTTTTGCAAACATCCATATTAAAAGACATTGTAAATTCCATGACTTCGGGCTCCTATATGGATTGATTTTTTAGGACTAATTAAATCAAATTTTAAGATTATTTAAATCATAATTAGATAATTTTCAAAAACTTTATATTATTTAATTTAAATCACCCTTCATAAAGATTATATAGGATAATTTTGGAAAATACTTCGAAGTATATATGGATTATTAATCAGAAAAAAAATTGGTGGGGTGGGGGGAATTAGACCGGTCAAGTCCGGCCCAAATCTAGAGACAGAAAGCTCTACAGCTTGCAGCCTATACTCCGTGCTTGTTTGGGGTCGCGACCTGGTTCTGGAAAATCGGCCGAGTGGGGCCCGCCATCGGCTTTGATCCGGTCAAAACATGGCCTCAGGATGGACGGCATCCACCGAATGGTCCCGCCGGATCGGACGGTCCAGATCAAATATGGCCTCACCGTCGCCTCCGGTATTTAATCCTTCTCGCCGCCCGCAGCCACCTATACTCTCCTCCCTCTCCACCAGTCCCTCTGCCCTTCCCTCCGCCGCCTCCCTCCCTCTCTCTCTCTCTCTCTCTCTCTCTCTCTCTCTCTCTCTCTCTCTCTCTCTTGCTGTTCGTCCGAGGAAGACGTGCAATCCAGTCTTTGGATTGGGTCGGCCTTGGGATCCCCTGTGGAATCTGATCCGCATCAGAGAAGTGGTGGCGATGCAGTCGAACGGCAGCGACAACTGCCAGCAGCCGAAGCAGCAGCAGCAGCAGGGGGCGGTGGCGTCGCCGCAACCGAAACTACAGCCGCAGCAGCAGCGCCAGCAGACGACGACGCCTCCGCCGCCTCTACCGCCGCCATGGATGTCGGCGATGCCTTATCCGGCGGGGACGATGATGATACCGCACCAGATGGCCCCACCGCCGCCGCACTTCGTGCCTCCCTATATGCCTTACCACCACGTGCCGCCGTTGCCTTTGCAGTATCACCCCCCGCCGCCGCAGCTGCAGCAGCAGCAAGGTTCCTCTGACGAGAACAGGACGATCTGGGTTGGGGATCTCCAATTCTGGATGGATGAGAATTACCTCCAACATTGCTTCGGCCATACCGGCGAGGTTTAATTTCTCCCCGTTTTCCTTTTGTTTCTTTCGCCCCTATACTCTGAGAAAGTAATTATGAATCTCTTCATTCTGTCGTTGTAACCTTTTTTGGGTGCTCCATGTAGACGTATTTCTAACTTTTTACTCCGCTCCTTTTTAGCGACATCCTCGCGCTGATAGTGAATCAATTAAACGTACGTATGGGTCTGATGTGTGAGCTTTACTTATGAGGGCATGTGTGCTTTTTTTTATTTGACTGCCATCTTGGGCATCTTAGTACCTGTTATAAATGGAGTCCGCGATTTCTTTTTTTATTCATTCCGAAGCAAGATTACCATTCGCACGCTAATACCTCTTCAAGGTGAGTTTTGATGCGGGATATTAATAGAAACTGTGCCTCGGTTTCTTTAATTATCGAGGGTTATATGGATGGTATCTAAAATTAGCTTTCATAATTGAGGGGAATAACCGGATAAAACATCAGGAACTTGGTTTCGACTATCTAGCAGGACTGCTTGATCGTTATCGGAATAAATAAGGTATATTGTGAAAGTAAAAGTTGCGAGGAGGTCATAGAAGGCAACGCTGTGAACCCATATGGAAGGGAGAAACCGCAGTGTAGGGCACTTGCTACTCCATTGGGTAAGTCACTTTTTTTTTTGGACGCAAGTTTATCTCCTGCTGGTTTGAGAGTAAGAGACTTTAATTTGGTAGCAGAGGTAGTTAAATGTAGTAGATTTGTTGTTATCCATGTGTGAAACGTTATCAAGGTTAGAGATGTATTCCATTCAATCTTTTTGTAGTTCATTTCCATGCCAACCATTCTGGGTTTGTTGTTGGAAGACCGAGGACTGATTTTCAACAATCAGCATTTTTGCCATTGCAAAGTTTGAACCATATTGATTGCCAATGTTCACAGAATCTACCCTCCTGACAACTCTGGGTGACAGCTAAGAAAGATGATTGGCTGAATGGAAAATATTCTGCGCCATTTTTCTCTCAAATGTTTTCACATTGCCGTCCCCTATAGTTTCATAACTGAAATAGACACTTAGCCATTGTTTTTTCAAGTCCCTCAGTCTTGATGGTCAACAACTCTCCATTAACCATACGGTTCTCTAGACTTTAAATCGTCTTCCGCTTCTGTAAGAGTCTCTCTTGAGTCATATAATCTTCTATACCATCTTTGGTTAGTGAAATGTGCATGAAGTATGGAGGAAGCTACCTGGTTTTACACAACCTCTGAGTGTTTGTTATGCCCAGATGAAAGGACTGTTTTCTTTTTGGGGTTTTCACCGAATTGTCCGTCATAGGATAGCAAATGCATTACATCTTTCTTATTTCTTAACGAATCTTCCTACTAACGTTTTTCATGGTTAGCACAATTTGTGCTACCGCTCCATTTGGTAGTAGTTGTTTCGTTTTGATTCGTATGATTTTCCAAGGAAATTGTTAAGTTATAAGAAGTTCATATCATTGGCCTATTTCTAAACTTTCTTCTTAAAATGTCAACTTATTTAATTATGATACTATAATCATATGCAGGTTGTTCAAATAAAAGTTATCCGCAATAAGCAAACTGGTCAGTCAGAGGGATATGGTTTTGTAGAATTTTATTCACATGCGGCTGCTGAAAAGATCCTGCAAATGTTTAATGGAGTGATGATGCCAAACACAGACCAGCTTTTTCGAATCAACTGGGCGTCATTTAGCATGGGGGATAGGCGTTCAGATGTTTCATCTGATCATTCTATATTTGTGGGAGATCTGGCTGCTGATGTCACTGATACCGTACTGCAGGAAACCTTTTCTAGCAAATACTCATCTGTAAAAGGCGCAAAGGTTGTTATTGATGCAAATACCGGTCGATCCAAGGGTTATGGATTTGTAAGATTTGGTGATGAAGGTGAAAAATCTCGTGCACTTACTGAAATGAATGGCGTGTATTGTTCCAGTAGGGCAATGCGCATTGGTGCAGCAACTCCCCGGAAGTCCTCTGGTATAATACAGATCCCATCAAATAGCTGCACTCATCAGTTTTTTTAATTCTAATACTTATCTGTTAATCTCTCTTCAGTGTCTAGTTAATTTTAGTAGCTTCAGTTTCTCTTATGAATCAATTTTTTTGCATGAAGTCATACATTCAAGTTTAAAAATAATTTCTGATAGAGCATGCAGAAAGTTGTTTAGGCGAGTGCTCAGGGGTGAATTTTATATGACGTTGTGTCTTTACGTGGTGTTTCTACTTTCTGTGGATATTCTGATCATTTATTCCCAATTGGACTGTATTCCATGTTTACTGTTGAGGTAATAGTATTCTTGAATAATAATAAAGGTAATTATATATTATAAAACTATATGTATGAATGTATTTAATAGAGGAAAGAACTTGAAGATGGATAGAACACGGGAGAAAAGTATTCTCTGCGAGTTCAGTGATAATCTACAGATGATCTGCTTCACACAGGGTGGTTAGCTTGCAATGCCGCCTTGCTCGTACTCATGGTCCAACATCTATGATAGTCATCGAGGGAGTGGAGGGTTTTATATTTGTCTCATCTGGATGTTTAATTCTCTGTAGTTCAGTGACCATTAGAATGCTTAGTTTCATATTTGCCTCATCCTACTGATAAAATAGTTTCCTATGCGTTTTTAAGGTCCTGTGGGCCATCAAGATGATGGGATTTCATGTGACTGATGAGTGGTCTAATAACTCTGACACATCATATTTTAGAGACTGGAAGCTATGCCCATTTCTCTTTAATCATTTATCTTATTTTCTAGGTTTTGCACCCAACAGCTCCCAAGGATCCACGTCAGAAGGAGACTCAAGCAACACGACTGTAAGTCAACCCCAATCCCAACCCCTCTTTGTGATTCCAGTCCTTGGCGATGAACTTGCTTGGGAATGAGCTGCACTCCGCCACAGTTATTTGTTGGTGGGCTCGACCCAAACGTCAGCGAGGATGACCTCCGGCAGGCGTTCTCCCAGCACGGTGAGGTCGCTTCTGTGAAGATCCCAATCGGAAAGCAATGTGGCTTTGTCCAGTTCATTCGCAGGTGCAATTGTCTGGCCCCTCTTCTCCGGCCGAATCTTCCTCCGATTCAAAGCCTTCCTTCTGAATTTTTTGCTTCTTCTTCTATGCTGCTCACCAGGAGCAACGCTGAGGAAGCACTGCAGAAGCTGAACGGGACGATGATCGGAAAGCAGACAATTAGGCTCTCATGGGGCCGCAACCCGATCAATAAGCAGGTCAATTCTCTATATATATCCTAAAACTGCACCATTTCTAGTTAATTCGCGGGTTCATCGGTTTAGGAAACTTCAGCTGACTGTTGATGGATTCAGTTGACCGTTTCAGTATTTTAGGTGAAGCATTTGTTCTTTGCTTGAATGTTGACTTTATCTTCCTCGGTCAACTTTATCTGCCCCAAACCTCCTAATTTTGGTTATAAATGCACCTTTTCTGCTTGACTTACCGGACAGTGGAGAGCACAAAGGGATCAGAAAACAATAAAAACTAAATAAATAAATAAATGAAGATAAGCTGAACCACATTTTCTGGTTTAATCTCTGCAGTTCCGGGCCGAGCCCACCATTTCATGGAGCAACGCCTACTACGGGGGCCAGGTCTACGACGGTTACGGCTATGTGGCGCCGCCCCAGAGCCCGGCCATGTACCCGGCAGCCTATGGCCCTTACAGCTTCTGCGGGAACCAGCAGCAGGTCAGCTAGGAGGATTCTTCTCCTCCACCAAAGAGCTAGGTGAGCTTGTTTCTTCCAACCGGCTTAGTCGTCTGTAACTCTAGATGGATCAAACAAAGATAGCTAGCTCTCCTGTCCCCCCACCCCACCCCCAAAATATAAACGGAAACCACTTAGGGATCACATCCTATGTATTATTTTGCTTTTCCTGGTTAAAATTTTGGTGCAAAGGGTTCTTCTCCGCGCATTATGTTTTTGGTTTTTTTTGGTTTTTTTTGGTTTTTTTTGGTTTTTTTTGGTTTTTTTTTTTCTGAATGCTTTAGCCCCTGTTAGTTGCAGAAGCGCTGGAATGGTTAGGGTTAGGGTTAGGGTTAGGGTTAGGGTTAGGGTTAGGGTTCTTGGTGGTGGAGCGGGCTTATATTTTCTTGGGATCCAGGCTATGATCTAGATGGATGATGATTGTAACTTATGATCTTAGGGTTCTTGGGTGGGGGTGATCATACTTTTTTCTTCTGGTGATGGTGCATTAATGATGCTTAGGCTTAGAATTCTTCTGAGAAAACGTCTGAACTGCTGTTCTAATTAATCACATCCATGGTAGATTTTTATGCAACATGATCTTCATGTCAGGCGGGATGATCATATATTTTCCCATTAATAGTAAGAATTCTTGAGAAAATATGTGACCCGTTGACCTAATCCTAGTTTGATGGATGACTCTGAAGCGTGATCTTGGTACTGGGTGGCCTGATGATCTTGGTGGCGCTGTTTCTAGCTGTTTAGATAGAGAGAGAGAGAGAGAGAGAGAGAGAGGACAAGGGTGCTTGCACAAATGTATTTTTTAGAGGGATATGTCCATCATTATTCATGTAGACGAGACGTGTGGGAAAGAAACTCATAGACCTCCTGCTTCCACAGTCAACGCGGGAGAAATTTCAAGGGTGAAAACGACATTGCGAAGTTGATCTAGGCCTTTGCGTAATTTCCGTTTCAGTCCCTGAGAAAGATGAGATAATTGATTTACTCTCATCCAGATTCATATTTGTAAGAAACACATTTTGGATAGATCAACAACTTATTAATGGCGAAGAAGGTCAGCTTAGAAAATTACAGCCAAGTCCTTGGAAAGATGAGGAATAGCGGGAAAACTCCTATTTCCGTGGAGCGTATGGACCCCCAGGATTCGTCCTTAAGTGCAATATTAAGTAATAAACGGCTGGAATTTAAGGATCTGGAGCTTTAGTATTCAATGTGACGGCGTACGGCACGTTCACTATCCTCGTAGCTGCCGTCTCTCCCCCTCCCTTGAAATATCCTTCTCTCTCTCTCTTTCTCTTTCTCTCCCTCTCTCTCTCTAGGAATCGAACCGTCCTTTTTGGGCATTTATTGGGCTTCTATTGATGCTGACTTTGGGAAGTCCAAAGCGGGGGACTCATCAAGGTCCCTCCCCTCCCAGAAAATGGGGGACTCAATTGGGACCCACAGTGTCCAGATTCACCGGATGCAAAATTAAAAATAAATAATACGGATAATGATAAAATTAGTTCGTATAAATCATAAAAAGGATCTTAATTTAATTTTGAAAAAATTAATATTTCATAACTTCCACTTTCCCTCCCATCGAGCTTTACAAGAGAGTTCTAGCTGATATTTCTATGGGTTTTAGGAGTCTTAGGGCCAAAGTTTGATATTTTTTAACTATTTGTCGATATAAATGGGAACGTGATACTCTTCAATAATGAGATCAACTGGAGATTAAAAAAAAAATGTAAAATATTTAACATGAAAATAAGTCGAGAATAATAAGGAGATTGTAACAAAAGGGAAGCTATGATGTTCCATTATGTGATATAACCATTTTAATCTTGGTTTCTTTTAAATGGGTATCAAAAGTTAATGGGTTTTTTCCCTCATCTCACAAACACCTCTATGATACCTTGTTGTTCTCTCTTTCTCTCTCTCTCTCTCTCTCTCTCTCTCTCTCTCTCTCTCTCTATCTCTCTATCTTGCTCTCTCTCTCTCTCTCTCTCTCTCCCTCTCTCCCTCTCTCATTGGTGGGCTGGGGTTCAACCCACTAAAACCTAGGATGGTACACAATTTATAGTGTGAATATAATGGGGTAGAGGTTGTCAATTGATATCCAAATCTCCATAAATAAAACCTCTTTCCCTTCACAGTGGGACTTCCTGCATCAGACATAGAGAGCATGTCCCTTGCTTTGAAGAAAACTATGTTGACTTTGTGGCCCCCATCAAGCTTGAGAATTCAAGATATGGCTAAAAAGTCAACGTCTTGGAGGGAGAGAGACAGAGAAGCTGGAGATGGGTAGATACCCCCAAGGAAACCTAGAGATAGAGAGAGAGAGAGAGAGAGGTAAGAGCATGCCCCTAGGGTCTTATATCTTAAAGTCTGATCACCAAACCCCCAACGATAATAATAATAATAATAAATTTTAGGTGCCTTAAGTAATAACTCCTTTAATAAGGGGTGTCATAAAACTATTCTCACTATTCAAGTACTAAGAATAGTATAAATGCAATAAAAATAATTCCGAGAATATATTCAGAAGATTCCGTGTTTTATAACAATGTAAACCGAGATTCGTAAGCACTACTGCTTTAGGTTCAGGAAAGCCTGACTAGGGAAATATGTGTAATTATATATTTTGGGGGGTGGAATAAAAATAATCCGTTGATCTGATGTGGAATTTTTTTTCTCACCGATTTTGTCCTCTTTTATAATTTAAATTTCCTAGACAAAGTGGATTCGCCTTGGCTCGGCAACCTTTCGGTCTTCCTTCTCTCTTCTCTCTTCCGTCTTCTCCCTCTTCCCTCTCTGCAGCTTCTGCTCGCCGCCTGTCGCGAGGAGGCGTCTGGGGAGGGGAGTAGGAGGACTCCGATCGGAGGTGCAGCCGATGGTAGTCCATCGTCCAAGCCACCGGCTATGGTGACGACGGCGTTGATGGCCTTCGCCATGGCCCCCGCCCCCACCTCCGACGATGCTCGGTATCGACGGCGTTGACGCCTCTCTCGCTCTCTCTCTCTCTCTCGCTCTCTCTCTCTCTCTCTCTCTCTATCTTTCTCTATGCTGTGCGCCCCTTCTTTCTCTCTCTATCTGTCCTTTCCAAGTTCTTGTATCCTCTCTCTTCCCATCTATATCTCTCTGTCTCCTCTCTTTATCTCTTCATCGATATTCCTGTTCCTGTACCTTCTGTATTCTTCCCAGCCGGTAGGTACTCCTCTCTTTCTTCATCATCGGTTTGATTCGAGTTTCTGGACCTGCTGCGTTTGAGTGTGAGGGGGACGGGAGTAGTTTGCAGCAGCTGGAATCATTCAAACCTGAGGTTTGACTGAGGTGGTGCGCTCTTCCATCTCCTCTGATGCTTAAACTTCAGGAGGTGTCATCCTGTTTAATGGCAGGCGGAGGTATATGAGCATCAATGTCTGAAGTTTGTTTGGTGGCCGGAGGTTGGAGATTAGCCGGATGAAGGAATCAGTGGAGGGCAGGCTGAGAGGTGCGGGGACTAGGGTTATCTCCCTCCATGGCCTGGTTCTAGGTTTCTGTGATGCCTTATGCTCTCTCTTCTTTGAGTTCTTGTTCCATTAGGCAGTCTTCCTCGTCCTCTGGCCGCTGTAATGTTTCCCCTCCATGCCCGGGTTTCTAGGGTTCTGCGATGCCTTCTTCCTGCCTCTGTCGAGATACAGTGGGTTATTGGTTTATCTCCCTTCTGCTTTCCATGACTGATTTCACCTCCTCTGAGGCTTTTGCTGGTTTGCTGGTCGACGTCTGTGGGATGGGACTAATAATGGTGGCCATTCCTTTCTTCTTCCAGGAATCGTCACCGCAATCATTTCCGCAGAGGGCTTCGTGGAGTTGTGATCCTCAGTTGTATCTTGTTCGCTCTTCCTGTCGCGTGGTCGTCAGCTCAGGGGAGCATCCATTTGATCTCCCATGCTCACGGCCATGGCGACGGTTTTGATGCCTGTGAAGAAGATGGATCGAGCTCACTGCACGCCCACAGTGTCTCGCCGGGTTGCAGCAACCATAGAAACCTGTTCACCCGCAGAGATCATCCCATCTTTCTCTCATCATTGTGTGGTTTTCTAGATGGAGATGATGGCTGCGAGCAATCGGGCTCTGAGGATCGATTAAATGAGTTCTTCGATGGCATGAAGCTCTCCTGCTTCCAAGCAGAAGCTGCTGGCAGAAGAGACGAGGGTTTCACTGCTTCAAATGGCAACTCTCATGGTGATGACGATGGAGGTGGTTCATGTGAAGCATCCTCGGCCACTGATACCTGGAGAAGCAAAAATCTTCTGGGTTCTTCCTCACAGGAGTCATCTCAAGGGATTGACACCAAATTTTCTGATGGGTTTCCTTCTCCACGGGTCAAGATAAGCCCCCCCTCCTTGGATTGGGGGATCGCCCATCTGTTTTCCCCTTCCAAGATCTTCTTGACCGTGACCAACAATCACAGTGACAGCAGCTTGCTCATTCACGAACCATTCAGCTCTGATCCACAGTTCTATCCATCTGGGCCCGAGCTGCTATCATTGGCACCTGGGGAAGCTGCATCAATTGGCTTCATCTTCCTCCCGAGGCTTCTTGGCTCCTCATCGGCCCATCTGGTTCTTCAGACAAATCGAGGCGGCTTTATAATCCACGCCAGGGGCACCGCTGTTGAGTCTCCCTATAGGTTTCAGCCCCTGGTGGGGTTCGAAGCAGCCCCTGACGGGAGCTTGAGGAAGGCTCTGTCCATGTACAATCCTCTGGATGATGATGATGTGCAGGTGGAGGAAGTGAGAGCTTGGGTTTCAGTCTTCTTTGAGAATGGTTCCCACTCTGCTCAGGTCATCTGTCAGAGAGACCAGTCTCCTCCGCCAGCAGGTGGTGGTGGAGCTTTAAATAGTAAGAGGTGGTTCAGCTTGGAAGAGGCCGGATCTGGGGAGTTTCTCGTGGGGTTGAAGCCTCACAGGTCATGGGAGCTTCAGCCTCACAGCACTGAAACTCTCATGGAGATCAGCCTGTTCAGCTCCAGAGATGGGAATTTCTCTGGAGCCATCTGCGTGAAGCTCCACAGTTCTTTGCATGGCAGGAACGACACGGTGGTAGTCCCTCTTGAAGCTCAGGTGAGAGATGGAGCAGCTGATCTTCGAGGGCCTGGTGGGTCTATCTCTGTGTTCTTCGAGCCAGCCCTGCCATTGCAGAGGGGAAGGTCAGTGTTTTCTCTCTCTATCAGGAATGGGGACTCACATCCTCTGAGGTTGGAGAAGGTCATTGAGGTCACTGATTCTGTGAAGCTCTTCGAGATCAAATCCATGGAGGGGCTGATTCTCTACCCCGGGGCGGTGACCCTTGTTGCTCTGGTGGTGTGTTCTTCGATTGCTGATCTGATGGAGATCTCCACCAGTTCTTCAATGGCCGTGAGCTTGAACTGCAAGCTCGCTGTGGTGACTAATCATTCGATCAGTCCGAAGATCGAGATTCTCTGTCGAGACCTGGTGCAGTCTAGCTCAAATCTTGGGTCTGAACATTCATTTGAAGAATTGGTGCTACAGCGTGAAGGAGAAAAGTCAACCGATGCAAGAACAGGCTCAGTGGGAAATGCTGCTGTAGAACTGTTGCCCATAAAGGTATGATCGCTCAAGCAATAATCCAGGATTTGCATCTATTTAGAGTAATTTACTACATTGGGTAGTTGGGTTGAAATTCTTCTTTTTTTTTTGCCATTTATGTTGGGTTTGTTAGATGAAGAACTATTGCCCCCTGAAATTACAATATCTGGGGAAATAATTTACAATAATACTAATGATAATAATATATGCTACCACCCAAGATTTCTGATGATCATGTGCTGCCTTCTTTACATAGATTCACTACCTACAGTAGTTGAGCTGGAATTTTTTATTTTGTTTCCTGTTTGAGAAAGAACAATTGTACATGAAAAAAAATATATATATCGCCCTGTATTTGCATGTATTTCTCTGCTGATCATATGCGCTCCTGTTCACATTGATTTATTGTCTGTAATCGGGCTGGAGTTATTTTCCTTGCTTAGACCTGCGCTGGTTCTGCTGGAAAAATTAATTTTTTTTCGCATGAAAGAGAAAATAATCCATCCCTTTTGAGGGAAAAATATTCATTTTCTTGGACATTAGATTGCCAAATTTGTATTGGATCTGATTTCTGTTGGCTTATCGGAATAATTTTTTTTCATTTTCAGCTTAAAGTTGACTTCTTCTAGCAAATTCTCATTAAGTTAATTTTTGAACAGTTGGTTTTTATGGAAATATCTATCTGCAAGTCAGCAATGACATTTAATCACAGAATAATTTTTTTTATCGTATAATTTTCAGTTTAATTGATCTATTCGTTAAAAAAAAAAGAATCTGCAGCGGAGTTTGCTGGAAGCGAGAGCGATCGATGAGCTGATGGTTGACAGCTGGAGATCCCAAGCGACCATGGAAGGCGTCTCTGTTCTTGAGCACCAAGAACTGATCTTCCCAACCGTCCAAGCCGGGGAACATCTCTCCAGATGGATCAAAGTCAGAAACCCAACCCAAAAGCCTGTTCTGATCCAGCTGATGCTGAATTCGGCGGTGATAGTTGACCGGTGCCATACCGTTGACTTCCCATCAGAGCATAAGCCGTTGACCGGTTATGGATTCTTGGTGGCCGAGGGCGCCGTTGTGGAGGCCCTGGTCCCCCCCCTTGGGACGGCTGAGCTGGGGCCCGTTGACTTCCGCTCTAAGGGTCAATGCAGGTGGAGGAGCTCGGCCCTGGTGAGGAGCAACCTCTCCGGGGTCGAGTGGGTGCTTCTACGGGCAGCCGCCGGCGCCCCGCCGCTCATCCTTCTCGAAGGCTCCAAACCCGTTGACGAACTGGTGTTTGACCTCAACCTGCCCCCGCCGGATCTCAATGTTTCTTCTTCGGAGCCGCCGCCTTCTGATGCAGCAGAGAGCAGCAGCAGGAGTTATTCTTGCAGCCGCCTCTTCTCCAAAGAGATCTACGCCAAGAACGTCGGAGAATCCGCCGTCGAGGTGGTGGAGATGGATATTTCAGGAAATGGCTACGGGTTCGAAGGATTCCTGGTGGACTGTCTAGGGTTTGTGCTGGAGCCAGGGGAGTCCACCAGGTTGCTCATCTTCTTCCGACCGGATTTCTCCTCCTCCTCCGCCGCCGCCGCCGCCGTGGTCCGGGGATATCTCCGGCTGGTTATGGCCGGGGGCGTCCTCGAGATCCCCCTGAAAGCTGCTCTTCCGCTGGCCATGTTCCGACAATGTGGGAAGCCCGCCGCCTGGTGGAGGAGACCCTTCTCCTGGAGATACTCTCTCTTCGTCCTGTTGGTCGCCGCCGTCGCCGTCGCCGGACTGCTCCGCCGTCTTCCTCCTCCGACGACGAACCAGAGAAAGAGCTCCTCCAGGTGGGTGTTCATGGCGGCCCTTCTGTCTTCGGCTGCTCGCCGCTGGTTTTTCCTCTGACGTCGGGCATTGGGGTTCATCCGCAGGTCGCCGGCGGAAGAAGAACGTAAACCAGAGGCCGGCGGCGATGCCGCCGCCGCCGCTGATCGGAAGACGGGGATCCGGACGCAGCAGGTTAAAACAGACTCCGATCGGCGAAAGAAGAAGACACGGTCGTCGTCGCCGTCGCCGTCGTCTTCAACGGGAAGGAGGATGGAGTTGGCCGGCGGCGCCGCGGGGGTAGAGGGCGAAAGATCGGGCAGTCTCACCATCCAGGCCATGAAGGAGAGGAGCCGCCGCCGCCGGCGGAGGGGGACGGCGGCGAGGCCCGACGTGTCCGGCAGCCAGAGTGGGAACTCCTCGCCGTCTTCCCCGCTGTCGCCGGAGGATTCCGCCACCGGCAGCACATTCGCCAACGGAGGCAGCGCCGCCGCCACTGCCGCCGGCGGAGAGAAGGCATTGGAGTCTCCACCGGAGAAGCCGTGCTTGCGGCCGGTTCTCCTCCCCTCTGCGACCTTCCCAGGCGCTGGCCGGCGAGGAGACGGCGGCAATGGCGGGAGCACTCCGATGGCCCTGGACGCTCGAGCTCCCGGATCGAGGCTCCGAACGGAGAAGACGGCGGCGGCCGGCGAGGGCTCAGCCGGCGGGGAGGAGTTCGTCTATGACATATGGGGGAACCATTTCTGCCACCGGCTGATCGGAAGGACGACGGCGACGGCGACGGCGACGGCGACGGCGGCGGACTTTGCCGACGGCGGCGGCGATTCGCAGAGCTTCTTCGTGAGAGACCCCGAGACGCTGATGATGATGGCGGCGCCGGCGAGATCTGGAGCTCGGGGCCAGGAGGAGGCCACTGCTTCTGGTGTACAGGAGGGGATTCCGAAAAGGGTAAAATAAGGGCTCTTCTTTTCCCTCTTTCTTCTTCTTCTTCTTCATCGTCTCTCTCTCTCGCCCCCAGTGTGGCCCAGTTTCTCGGGCTTTCTTCAGGCCCGAGCCTTGTGAAGACGGCCCGCCTCGGTGGGCCAGCCCAAATGAGTAGATGAGCTGAGCTGGGCCTCTTCTATGAGGACACGTGGACGGACTCCCATGTGCTCTTGGAGAGATTCACTGAGCTGGGAAAAAGACGAGAGAGAGAGAGAGAGCCGTGCATGTTATTTACATCTTTGCCACTTGTCTGCAGAGGTGGAGAGAGAGGGTGAGCCGTTTCTTCTGTTTGTATCTTTGTCGCTTGTACGCAGGCGTAGCGAGAGAGAGAGAGAGAGAGAGAGAGAGAGAGAAGGGCGATTGGCAGAGTGAGAAGGGTCAAGCGGGACGAGACGAGAGGTAGTGGTAGGAGCAGGGCGTAGCAGCGAGCGACGACAGTCGAGAGAGAGGGGAGGAAGAGGAAGGGAGGGGGGGTTGCTAACCCCATTAATAGCATTTCTCTCTTCGGAGCACCAGATTCCAGCTGCTGCTGCTCTGCTTCTGTTCCGCCTTCTTTTTTAAATTTATTTTCAGGGGTAACGCATGCGGTCACCGTCTCTTCGGATCCCTTGAAACTATATATATAGAGAGCTAGTAAGGCAGAAAGAAGGGTGAGGTCGAGGAAGAAGGGGGATCTGGTGGGATCTCGCTTCGACGGATCCCCAGCTTCCTTCTGCCTCCCCTCCCCTCTGCTCTTCCGTTTCTTCTTCTTCTTCTTCATCTTCTCCCTGAATTGAATTTGGGGGTTGGTAGAGAGTGGAGGGGGGTGAGCATTTAGAAGGGTGGAGGGTGGCATTATGGGAGCGGCGGAGTCGACGGACCCGGCGCCCACTCGCTGGACATTTCAGGTTCTCTCTCCTTCCCGGTGTTCTTCAATCCGTTCATTCACCTTCTGCATGTTTGATTCGTGGAGTGTCTGAGGGGCTCGGGGAGACCTGCATTGTCTTTTGCCTTGTTCGTTCCTCGAGATCCCGATCCTCGTGAAGATTCGTGCTTCCTCGTAATCTTTTTTGGTTTGTTTTTGGTTTGTGGAGGCGTTGCTTTGTTTGAATTATCTGCGTCCTCGGGTCCCTGACTCATTCCTCGATGGACTTCTGAGAAGTTTATTTACAGTTGTTGTTGGGGACTGCAACAAACATTTCTCCCATTGAATTGGATCTACTGATTCGTCAACAGTCGGATGGTTTTTCGATCCTCTTTGCTCTCTCTATCTGTTATACAGTTTTATGTATTGTCTGCTAAACAAGAATTACAAATTCGATTGTATGGATATTGGAAGTTTAAAGCTTTGCTTTTGGACAGAATCTACCTACATCGTACGAATGAGGAACTTGAGTTCATTTACTGCGTTGTTTAAACATTCGTAAGGCAGAATTTCTGCAGCTTATTTGGGCATCATCTGGATAGAAGAAGCTTGTGCAAATCAAGTTTTACACGTGGGTCTTGCCCACGAATGTACACGGTTAATACATGGATTGGTTGATGAGGGCATTATACTGCTGAAAACCTCATAAATTAGCATGCATTATGCTCGAGATGCCTTTTTGGACTTATTTATTGGTTTCTTTTATTTGCTTAGGAATTCAAAGTGTTTTACGAGTCAAAGTTTGGAAGGAAGAAGGAGACAGAAAAACAAGAGGTATTGAGTCACTCAACCGACTCAAAAGACTGCTGCCCAAATAGCACAACGCACCTGAACGGAAGCTCCAAGATGGCACCCGACCTGGCTGTGTTCGAACAGTTTGAGATCCAGGTGTTCTTCTGTTACCCGTATGTTTATGCTGTGATGTCAACGTTGTGGAGCATTTTATCAGTTTTCCTTCAATGCATCTTGAAATCAATCGTTTCAAGTGTGTGATCCTTGTATTCTTCTGTTTTTTCAGGATAACAATGCTGCTAGAGATCCTGGAGTGAATGGACCCAGAGAAAGACCGTAAGAGATCCATTGCCCTTCAACCCTTCTTAAATGTCCTTTGGCTGGTTCTAAGCTTCACTTGGACACATGCTCTTACACCTTGCAACCATGGTATATCACGACTCATAACAATGTTCACTGATTACACAGAAGTTCAGGCTGTTGTTGTTTTCTGTGGTTTGCTTCAGGCATGTATGTCTGAGAAATAACCGGCCTTGAAAATTTGATGCAAAAAATGTTTTAAGAATATAAGAACAAAGTAAAATAATGAAAATAGGTTAATGTTATGTATTCTTTGAGGTCAGCTATGGATTGTGGTGAACAAATCTATTGGGATCAAAATCTAATCAAGTCTTTAACTATCAAAGAGGATTATGAAATTCTCAATCAGTATTATCATGACACACATGCTCTAAACTTCGTTGTAAGAACTTTTATATCAATGATGCTGATAAAATATTTGATAGTGGTCCACTGAGAGGAATGGTTTGTTTTAATTATTATGCCACCATTTAGCTCGCATCAGTCACCTTAATAGTTATATTTTTGACTGTTAAAGCATACTCTAGGTTTCAAAAAATTGTGAAGTTCGTATTCCATTTTCATTTTATAAGCAAGAACATAATTATACTCTTGTCCTCTTCATTTATCTATTTATCTTCTTCTAGACTGTTTGCTGTTAGAAATACTTTTGATTGCAATTCTTATAGCTTTGGTGATGTAGAATTAGTACATATTTTTCACAAAATTGTTGCTCATGCTGACACTTCTTCCGGAGGAGTCATTTTATTTTCCACTTTGTCATTGCAGGCAAAAATCACTTCTTCCTCCCTTCGAATCTGCTGAAATGCGTACTTTGGGAGAAACCTTATGCAGGCAACTTCGCAATTTTCTTAACTAAACGGGTCTCCTCTGGATTGTTTATAAGCCATTTATATAATAAGTCAACTGAGAATCTTTGTCTTTCTATATAGGGACATCATTCGTGGGAGTCCGGATGTCAAATGGGAAAGCATTAAGGGATTAGAGAATGCAAAACGACTGCTTAAAGAGGCAGTTGTCATGCCAATAAAGTATCCAAAGTAGGTAATTTAGTTGTCGGTTTTCTGTGAGTCTTTTGTCAAAAGCAGTGCCTTGCTAGTAGAAACTTCTAATTTATGCTGACTACAAAGTGTAATGACAAGGATGCTATATTATTCTGCTCCTTTTTCTGTTCAGTGTCTTGACAATTTCATTTATGCTGAAATTTAGTATTTCTGCATCTGGATGTCACTTGTTGACTGTCCTAAAGAATTATCAGCAGTTAACATTTCCATGTCTGTATGATCTCTGTGAGAGACAATCCTTATCCAGTGAAGTTCCCATGCTATCAGAGCTGAAGGAACCTCCTTTAAGCTATAGGAACATTTACTTGCTTTGTTACCCTCCAAATAGCCAACAAAAGAGTAGGAAATAATCAGATTCCATCTCTTTCGTTCTGAGTTCAAAGGGCAAGCGGAAGCACTCCGTTACAGCAACCAAACAATACGTGATTGTATTTCATTATTTGTGTGGTAGAAGACCTACTATATGTACTTTTATACAGAAGACCAGGCCATGGTTATTTAGGCTCAAAGAAGTAGAAATCGGGTCTTCTATTTCTTTTTGGGAACGTGGGAAAGGTGGAATAATGTTCGCAGTCGGTTAGTTGAACATATAGTTGTAGATGGAGGCGTTGGAGGTGGCAAATGAAGAACCTAGGTTAAGATTAGAAGCACTGACTTGGATCACTCCTCCCACAGCGTTCCCCTATATCTTTTTGGGCTTCTTGCTGCCGATGCTAGGTCTTCTATCTGTTTTATTAGTTTTTTATTTTATTTTCACTGCTGGCAAACTATCATTTTCTCGATCCAAGGTTGATGGCCAAGGCCTGTTGAAATGATGGTTGCATGTTTGTCTGCTTCAAGTGCTAACGATATTTAAATGTTTTCTATACACTTTTATGCAGTAATCATTGCCAATAGAGGTTACGGCAGAATAGAGTATTCCTTCTGTCATTTGTGTCGTTTCAATTCTCTAGCATTATTGGATAAATTCACTGAAAGATTTGCCATTCTGTCCCGATATCTTCCATTTAGTAATGTCTGAGAACATGATTACAAAATAGTAATCTCAAGCCCTTTGTGGTTCACTTCCAGGTACTTCACTGGTTTGTTATCTCCTTGGAAGGGTATTTTGCTTTTTGGCCCTCCTGGAACAGGCAAGGTCTGTATTCATGATACCCGAGAAATTCACCCGTTTCATCTATTGTCAATAAAGTATGTACTATTTCCAATTCCATGGCATAACGTATAACTTTTTTTAACAATTCATTTCCCCCCTACAAGAAAGAATACGCTTAAGGCTTTCCACCATGATGTTGATGTGATGACTATTTTACTGATTTGATTCGATTATGGTATTTATATTATATAAAACCACCCAGATTGAGGTTTCACAAAAAGCATGTGAAACACTTCCTTTGCTTAAGCTAAATTTTTCGGTTTTGAGCTTAGCGAAAAAAACGGAACACTTCCTTTGCTTAAGCTAAATACGAGCCGTAAGCATGTGCCTGAACTTAGCTCGTAGTTGTAATCTAGGCAGGTTCCAGGGTTGCTTATCCGTGATTTTGAGCCTGATTAAGTTCCAATCAGGCCTCCGATCGAACTAAACAGCTTGGTTATATTATAGTTTACTTCCTACAGATATAATAAATAGCATGGTATCTATCGCCAGGAGTGAACGGTTCTCCCGTTTATCGAAATTTGTAATTTAGGCTCAGTCCTTTAGATACTCTGTGATGCTTAATCCAGAACAATTTATTGAATAACTAGAATGAATTTTAACATATTCGTGACTCCCAATTACTCTCATTTGCATCCTTTATTGAGAGATTTACTTCGATTACCCATCACTGTGTAGCATTACTTGAATTACATAAGCATATTCGAGGAAAATTGCATTTAAAAGTGTTGCAGAAAGTTTAAGACATTAGTTTGGGATTTGGTCTGACATTGGCCAGAAAACTGATCCCACATCAGTTTTTATGCAGCACTGTGACATAGAAAGGGAAGTTTTTATGTCATTCATTGGAGGTCAAGGGGGACGGCTTTTGGGTGTTTTCAAGTGAAAGAGAGGCTGGTTTTGAGGTTTACATGGTTCGAATAGGGCTGATGTTGGGAGTAATATGTTACATTGCAAGAATATATAGAAAAAATCTGAAAGAAACTTCTGAAGTGCTAGGTGACATGAATTCTCACCTGAAGGGGCACCACTTGGCTGTCTCTATTGCTCAAACAAGACGGAGCTCTAGGATTCATTCACCTGCATATTTGAGGTGATTGAGACTGCATTTAACACCCTACTCGTGAAATTATTTGTTCTTTCCTTGTTCTTTGATGGACATTAGTCTCTTATTGCTAATAATTAGCTTTTATTTTTCATGCTTCCACCCTCTGCCCTTGAAAAGGAGGGAGAGAAAATGAGAGAGAGTACCATCCAATCAAGGTTTGGCGTTCAACAATATCATATGTCAGAGTTCGTAATAAATTTGTAAGATATTGCTGAAAATTTGTGACAAGATCAGTGATCCATATCCTGTAGGTAAACGTCAGTTGACATCATATTGCTTAAAGACATCGATCATTATAAATCCATCATCAGATGGGTCTAGATGTTTTTTCCCTTCTTTCTTAGGCTGCTGGTGGTTCAAGCTCCCATAACTTCTCACATGGACGATAGAAAGGATTTCTGTCTAGACAATACCCACAGGGTTCCCCTCGTCCCTTTATACTCAGTAGCATGCGCTCCTGCAATTTATGTTGGGAGTCATTAAAATGATTGTTTCATGGAAGTTAAATTTCATTGAATATTAAAAGTGTACTAAAATAGGAATACAAAAGCATATCCCCAGTGTAACGAAGTTGCAGACCTGTTTTCATCTTTTGTTGTTACTTACGGTCTCATATGTTACTCGCCTGTCACTTAAAATCATATTGGAAAATCAGATTTTTTTTGACAACATGTTATAGTAGTAATTCTGCACGGGACAGAGTGAGAGAGATGTTTTTAGATTCACAGGTAGGATAATCTTCCCTTCTTGACAGACTTGAGTTTATTACATGGTCTTCATTATTTTCGAGTGGACAATAGAATTTTTTTTAGAGGGTTTTCGAGATGATATCCGATATTGCTTTCATGCCCCCGGTCTTTAAATATTTAATTAGTGCGTGGTACAGTCAACTTTCGAAAAGATAATATTGGTACTTTCTTGTTATTGTACGAATTAGTTTTGGCTCTGGATATGTGACTGATTTCTGCAAGATGCAAATAAAGTTGGTTCTCAACTTATCTTGCAGACTATGCTTGCAAAAGCTGTTGCAACCGAGTGTAAGACAACTTTTTTCAACATCTCGGCATCATCAATTGTGAGCAAGTGGAGAGGTATGCCAGGATTACCTCGAATTATATCTTTATGTTCTACGGATGTCTGTGATATTTTTCATTATGTTCAAAATTTTATGGGAAATCATAGTCATAAAATATTTTATGTTTTAATGTGCAAAGGAAATGGAAAACTTTTTGTGGCATTATTCTTCCTGAGGTCTGTCTGAGGTCATAGTTGGATTGGTGTTAAGACAACATAGACATACATAAAAGAGAACTTCCTCTGTCACAGAGGACAGAGGGGAGGAGTGGCGGATACCACAACCCATCAACCCCTCAGCAACCTCTCACACCTCTTAAAAAGGAAGGAAACCCTACCAGAACCTTTCCCAAAATACCCTCAATATTTTACAGTATTTCCCTTAGAACTTCCAACAATTGGCATATGACTTTGTGTCATCTGCGGTTTTGTTGTTAGAATGGGCATAATTTCCTGGTCGAAATTATTCTGCATTTTCTGGGAAAGTGGACAGGACCACATGATCCTCTGTAGAAAATTTGAAAGGTGTTCATGAGTGAAAAATGTGAGGTCTAAAAGAGAAACACTTGTGCACCATTATAGTCTTACTCTAAACTTTATGACAAAATGAAGAAAAATGTTACAGAGCCAGTAACCCCCAAATAGTTGGAACTGCTTCCCTCCTTTCACAAAAACATCACCCATTCATTTGACGTGTCATAAGCCTGCAAAACAACCTAAAATGTTAACGTGGCTTCCCCTTTAGAAATATGTTGATTCTCTCCACCGATTCAGTTTCCCTGACCAATGATGGCGGCCTAAGTCTATTGAAAGGACATGAATGTTTCCATGTAAAGATCTATCTTAAGGCGTAGTTACTTCCATGTTTCTTCGGTAAAGGAACTTCCGTGAAAAACTGTCCCAAATTTTCTTCATCCTTACCACACAAGCAACAAGCTCTATGGATTGACTAAAAATTAGACTTAAGTCGGCTCCACTGGGAGATCTCCGAATGAAAATCTTTACTTTTACCTGAGATCAGTTGCCCTGAATCTGAGGATCTACAAGATGTATAATGCCTTCAATGGAGATGATTTGATCAGCTGATTTATCTGATAAATGATCATATTTTTTCCATCTCTCCCTCCACAGCTCTGGCTCTTGGGTTTCTGTTAGCAGAGAGGGGAGCCATCTATTCTTTAGTGGCAAATGCTTTGCTATGGATGGCCTCTGTCCCTCCTCTGTTAACGAAACGGCATAGATTTCGCAAATATGATATTCGATGTCTTCTTCTCTAGTAGTTTTTTTCTCCCTAGCTAGTAGAAAACAGATCCTCTTCCTCCTCGTGAGCCTATCTTGTTAAAATAAGTGCTATTATCTGTCCACCTTGCACATATAAATCCCATGATCTCTGCCACCAATAGCATTCTTCCTAGAAACAAAATTATCTCCCCTTCTATTTCAATGTCTCCCTATGCTACCTGCCATCATCATCATCAAACATACAATCTTGCTTAAGTGCAACGAGTCCCTCTTTTGTTGATTCTTCATTATTCCCAAAGCAGGTCCGGCTAGCCCCCCATTTGGAATGATCAAGGTCCAGTCTTTTCAGCTACCTTATTAAGTACCCATGGCCAACAAGGCTTCAATAACTGTACTCCAATTCGATGGCTTTGTTAATAGCCTTGACCATGTCTCTGTTTTACCCTGTATTATCTTGTGATGCAAAACTAGCCCCTGATCATGTTGATTCTGTCCTACTGGTTTCATGGCCACGCCTAAACTTAATGACCCCATTGACAAGATTGTGAATGCGATGTGTAGGTGACTCAGAGAAATTGGTGAAAGTATTGTTTGAGTTGGCCAGGCATCATGCTCCATCTACCATATTTCTTGATGAGATTGATGCAATCATCAGCCAGCGTGGGGAGGCTCGCAGTGAGCATGAAGCCAGTCGGCGTTTAAAGACTGAGCTACTTATACAGGTGGATCACTTCGCTTCATAGATACTTCTCTTGTTGTCCCCATCTTCTGCCCACTGATCTTTACAACAATGAACTACATTTTTATTCACACAACGGTGTTCATAGTCGGCTTTAGAGTGCAGATGGATGGACTGACAAAGACGAATGAGCTTGTATTTGTTTTGGCCGCAACAAATCTCCCTTGGGAACTTGATGCTGCCATGCTTCGACGTCTGGAGAAACGGGTACTTTATACTCCTTTACCATCTGCATGCATGTTTCTAGATGTTTTATTCATAATCATTTTCAGTTTGGTGCTAAAATTTCTGACACTATAATTACTGTCATTTGAGAAGACATGAATTGAAGATAAAATGCACTTAGTTCTTCAGGTGATCTATTTATTTTCCATTAGTAGCATCTCATTGCGTAAGAGAGAGAAAATCGCTTTTCTTCGACTTGAATGCATAATTAATGTCATCAAATCTCTGTGCAACAGTGGTTTGCATGCATGAGCCACTCTCGTGGATTTACTTTATTTTTATTTTAAGTTTGAATATTGTGGAGACCGAAACTGTGAGGAAAGAAATTAGTCTATTATCCCCTGTCATACAAAGCCTATTACCCCCAAAATAAAAGAATCGCTCCATTGATTTGATGCCTTCCATTATCTAATCTACTTATATGTATGTAAACATACTTTTCTGTAAACTGAGGATATGATGATGTATCAATGGAAGTTTTTAAAAAAATTAATGTGCACCAAATGTTCCACCATGCTCACTATTTGATCTCCCTTGTTTCTTCCGTTCTTGGTTTTGTTGATTTGGTGGTCTGGATCATGATTAGTCATCAACCCTTCCTCATGTAATTACCCTCGGCAGATCCTCGTGCCCCTTCCAGAACCGGGAGCAAGAAGAGCCATGTTTGAGCAACTCTTGCCATCTGAGCCTGAACGGGAGATGATCCCATATGATCTGCTGGTTGAATCCACAGAAGGCTACTCAGGTTCTGACATCCGCTTAGTATGCAAGGAGGCTGCCATGCAGCCATTGAGACGGCTGATGACCCACTTAGAAGGACAAGGAACTATTCCCGAAGAAGGTATTCCTACTCTTCTTTTAAGATTCATACAATCTTCTTTTAGAAATTAAATATCCTCTGATTTCATATCAAAATTTCCAATCTCTTCAATAATATCTTCACGGTGCAATTGTTCTGCTATGCATTAATCAAGTTCCCGAGAGCCCACCACAGAATTGAATACAATCTGATCTGTAGCGTTTAACCATTCATAGAAATTTCTGATCTCCACTTGGTACGACTGTTACATCTCTTCTTAATCAACCTGCAGAGAACACCGAGAATTAAAAAGGAATTATTTTAGAAAATAATTACGCCATGTTTCACTCATTCCCTCTGCAGTTTTTAATCTGCTCATAAAGATTTCTGAAAATACACCAAGACTTTATGTAATCTATACCTTCGGAAAATAGTTGTCTTTTTTTCATTCATTCACTCACTCTCGCTGTAGGTTTGAACTATTCATAGAAATTTATAATTTCCGCGTGATAAATGAACCAATTTTATATTTTTCACATTACATTGATAGAATTTCATCCTCAGAATCTTTTATGAATAGTTTGGATTCTTTTCATATCAACCCTTTTTTTTTGGTGCGCATCAAGAAATATGGAATTTCATTTATAATCTACCGGGTGCATATGTAAATAATATTGAAATCTGCAGACCAATTTTTGTTATCATATATCCATATTCATGCATCATCATCTCTCAGATTCCTCAGTTCCTGGAAATCTTTGCTAATTTAAAGCATAATTAATGGATGGGATTCGGCGGCTAAGAAGAGAACTGAGCTCGGTTTACTCGAAAGGGTTTCACAGTCTCCCCTCTTGGCTTGCAGATCTGCCGCCAGTAGGCCCCGTCATGCCTGGAGATATTGAGGCAGCCTTGAGGAACACGAGGCCGTCTGCCCACATCCATGCCCACCGCTATGAGAAGTTCTACCAGGATTATGGGAGCCAGATCCTCCATTAGCATCCCCTTCCTTCCATTAATTCCCCTCCTGGTCTTTAATCTTCCCCCACAACCTCCCGCAAGATGGAAGTCAGAATAGGGTTGACCGATGTTCTTAGCCGACGTCTGCTCAGGGTCAATTGACTTATTTTAGTGGACTCAGGGATCAATAATTCTGTGGTAGATGGCTCTGCTGAGCTAGGCCAGTTCATCTTGTATGCATGGTTCTGTTCCTGCTTTAGATCCTCTTTTCCATGGAGTCAACGGAAGATTGAATTGTAGATTTCTTTTCCTTTTCTTTCTTTTTTTTATTTTTTTATTTTATATTTTTATATATTTTTATTTTTTTTCTTTTTTCTTTTTTCTTTTTTCTTTTTTCTTTTTCCTTTTTTCTTTTTCCTTTTTTCTTTTTCTTTTTTCTTTTTTCTTCTTCTTTTTCTCTACTGATGGGAGCTGATTTCAAGCATCGATCTTTCATTTTTATTAAATAAGATGCTTTCTCTTGATTTTCCTTTGTATTATTATAATATTTGCTAAGCTGCATATAAGTATATTTAATTTATACTATGATAAATTGATTAAGCACACTCACTAGCTAAGTTATTTATGGTCGCATATGAGATGAATAATTCAATTTTTCACTTATATTGATCAAATTTTGCCCGACCTCCTAGTCATCACTCTCATTATTAATACATAGAGCTGAGTCATATATCTTTCTCATGATTATAATTGACGTAGGTTTCTCAAATATCTCAAAGTTGTAAGAAGGTACAAGCATTTTTGTCAGATTTCAAGAATTATAGTGGTCCATATAACAACATCGTGATTATTGAGTATATATATTTATATATATATATATATATGATCCCAAATCTTCAATTAGGCCCAGAGATCAAAAGTTGACTAACTCATCATCTCCCTTTAAAGACAACTCATAAGTTTTTAGGTCCAGTGGAAATAATTTTAACAATCTAGGTAGTATTATTGTATTATTTTGATAAATATGTAGGTAAATATGTATAGGTATCATTTTGATCAAATAGATTAATAAATATTATATACATTTACTTAAATCTTCCTATCTTACTATTACTTATACACCATGTTGTTAATTGATTGGGCCCGGCCCAAGCCATTATGAACCCAGTTGGATTGGATCTGGCTCAGGTCCAATTGGATTAGGTCAGATTGTGAGAGGGAGAGAGCCCCAGGCTGCCACGTGCATCACTGAGAGACAGCCACTTGATGACCAGTCCGACCCCATCGAGCCTGGACTCGACCCCGGTACGGACCGAGCTGGACTGGATCAACTTCCCTGCCTTTTTCGGGCATTTTTCTTGATCCGAATTTGGCCCCAGCTCCTACGACACCACATATCTAGCGAGAGAGAGAGAGAGAGAGAGAGAGAGTCATAGAGAGTGGCGGCCCACCTCTGGGGACTCCCCTCCTGCCTCACCTCATCTTGCCCTTTAATGCTGCTTCGACTTCATCTCTCTCTCTAACCCCACCTCCTCTACGCATCCAGCTTTCTCTCTCAATATCTGGCTTCCTCCCTCTCTCTCTCCCCCTCTTTAAAGCCCGCATCCACCCCGCCTCTCTCTAACGTTCCTCTTCTCCCCCTATAACCTGCACCCGCTGTATTATCTCTGTCCCACATCGTCTCCCACGTAGCTACTTCCTCTCACATCCCCTCTCGCTCTGTCCCTTTCCTCTCTCCATGACCATAGCCCACCTTCTCTCCCTCTCTCTCTCTCTCTCTCTACAATGATTTACAGCTAGACGCACATCTTGAGCACCATGGAGAGAGAGAGAGAGAGGGAGAAAGAGAGAACGAGAGCGAGCGAGCGAGAGAGAGAGAGAGAGAGCGTCTCCTGGGGACTATCTCCATTTTTTTTTC